GAAGCCTCGTGTCAAGTCTCTTCCTCAAAACCGCTTAGATGTAAAAAAGTACGGCAACCACTGCACAACTTTTCCTCTGCATTGCAACTTTGAAACTATTTTTGATATCAGTATTCACCCTTCTTACTCATCATCCCTGCGCGGTGGGCAGGTCTTTGGGGGTACCGGCTTTATTGCTTTATGTGTTGTTCTGTTGCCTCCGAAAGCCTCAGTATGGTCGGAGTGGGTGTGGGATTGTGACTGGTCACCGATCCCTTACACCTCGCGAAATGCTCCCACATGACCAAGTGTCTCAAACAGCCTTTGCTAAGNCGAGTGAGATAACGAAAAGCCGACATCCGGGTTGGTGAACCATTGGCAGTTCACCTAAGGGAGTTGGCTAAAAACCCTGATCCCAAACCAACCGAGAAGAGGCATACGAGCCAAACACACACCTTCCTGGTTGCGGCAGTGGTCACCGGCTCAGTTGGTCATCAAGTTGTATCGGGCACCTTGAACTTCTGACCCTGCCCAAAGGGCATATGTATGATCTAATGAACTGGCCCCCAACGGACTGCGGACTCTGAGCTCCGTCCTGTCGTCTTGCAGGCTTGGCTTTCTAGCCAAAGGCTTCGGGTTATCTCTCTTCGTCTGCCAGGGCAACCGGGCAGTAACATGCTCACACAACCAATGAACACATTCTACAGATTTCTTGTTGTTCATATGTTGTGGCACATTTGCCAGTTCTCTGTAATTGATTACGTATTGAATAATATGTGTTGCTGTACAACAAAAAAAGGTAAGCTGTCTACAAGCGACGTAGCAAAACCGAAACGAGATTCTAGAGAATGGTATGTGAATGACGCAAAACAAACGGTACAACTAGCGTATTGTACATTTTCAAACGCTCACCGGTTTTCGCATCGTGAATCGCATTCCGAGTCACCGGAGTGGCAGTCGAAAGAACCGCGGAGTTAGGTATCCTATGCGAGTCTTGCTTTCGTTCTGCTTGTTCCTTCTCTCGTTCGAGAGCTAACTGTTCGTCTTGATACGCCTGAATTGGATCAAAATCTGCGACGGGATCATTCTGGCTCATCGCTTTCGCTTTAGTTAGAGCATTGTCCACGGCCCGGTCATAGCAAAACCGGTTCAAGCGCAAACGCCAATCGTAGTAAATCAAACCAGCTTGGAGCATGGTCGGATTCATTCGAGCGACAATTTGATCAATTCGAAATGCGAGATAGCGACGCCAGGCCAGGAGCCCCTGCCATTGACAGAATAGACCTACGGCAGCCAATGTGGTATAGCACAAGAGACGAGCAGGTGTGGAAACACGAGCAGGCAATCGAAAGGCACGGTTGAAAATGTAGGATACCTGAATGGATTTTTTTGTTCGTTGATCCACGGATAGGAAGCAGAAAAAAGAATGCAGCTGATGAGGAACCTTAAAAGATAATATGAAGCGCACAACCGAAATGACCCACATCAAAGAGGGGCAGACGGTAAAGTTAAAAAATCAGAATGGTATTCAGTTTCCTGGTTATTTTGTGTGCAGTTTGCTGAAGTGTTTGTGGTTGTGCAACAAATAGGACAGTTTTTTCAACTGCGTTTTTATCACGGGCTCGTCATCATAAAGTACTTCGAAACAGTTCATCTAGTTACCCGGCAACTTCGTCCTTCGTCACGATCAGTTTGTGAAGACCACGCCAACATAATAGATTTCCTATAGCACAGTCAAAACAGAGTTCGACCTTGTGACGTGTTTCCCCCGGATATTATCATAAAGAGTTGTGCCATTGGGAGTTGTTTTTGCTTCAGAGACCGACCTGCAATCAGTTAGTGAGTATTTGCAATAACTTTTCTGTGGTATAGATATGCGTAGGGTGTATTCACTAGTTGATTGTAGTCAAAAAATATCCCCAGTATGACTAGGCTATTACGATGGTGCATTATGATAGCACTAATAAAAATATCCTTAAAACTAGCAGTGCCCAAAGTACTCCGAACTGACCCAAACTGGTTGAAAGCTTTGCCTAAATTAGCCGACTTTCATCGCCCCGTCAGCTGGATATTTTGGAAAGTCCCTGATTTCGAAATCATTTAAACCTGGGTCACCATCGCCAGATCTAAATGGAATATCAACCACTTTTTTAATGGTTACTGAGTGCAACCACTCCCCATGGAATCAAATGCGTGATCTGAGCGGTGGTCAGGGACCAAGGGTTTTGTACGCTTTATTTCAAACAAAACAGACAGAGGCATTTTCTATGGCATAACTCTGCTGACTGTTTTCGTGATCTGACTTTTTACCTATGGACTGCGCGAAACACCTGCGCTTTCAACCGAGAGGTTTCTGTTAGAAACAGTCTACCAGATCGACGGCGATAAATCATTTATCTACTTGGGCAGAAGCCCAGGGCAACCGCGAATGCACGGGCGATAACGATCGATCGGTGGAAACCCACAAGTACCAAAAAAAGAACTTTAAATTCCCTTGGCTCTATTCCAGTATTGTGTCAATATCACTTAGTGTGTTATGATCGACAAGTCTGTTTTTCGGCATTGAGCACCAGTTGAAATGCAGCAAAACGATTCCGGAAACACGTTGAGAAGTTTCGCAATTTCGTGTTTTTTGTTCAAATTAGAGACCGACAAATTGAGCAATGGGAAAAGCATCGATCCATCATTCACAGAATGATTCACTCAATCGGACCTAATTGTGATTGGAAGTATCCTGCAGCGAAATCTTGGATGGACGCAAGCTATCCTACGCGAACTTCACATCTGTCGATCGTTTCTCAACGGAAGTAAAAGCGTCTGCTTATACGGAATGCACGGTGACTAGCAGTTAATACATACGCGATGAGGATAGCTGGGTTAAACACATATCCAAAACGAAAAATACGTTGCGAAGGAAATATTTAAAAACGCAGACTAAATAATATTTTCATGTCTCAAGCACGACGATTGTGTGAGCAAAATATAAAGCAATGATACCAAGGTTTCTTTTGTCTTGGTAAGCTTTTGTTAAGACAATACAACCGGATGCCGAAGCAATTAGCTAATAACAGTGTATTTAGTTCATGAAGGAGACATGATTGTCTATCGATATTTTCTCGTGTGCACGATCGGAACACTGATTTTAGTTCATCCTGCAGTTTCTTTCTGAGCTGTTGTAGGTTGATATCTTTTAGCTGCCCATTTAATCAATCAATGAAGAACATAGTGTGAGAGAGGAATAACGGATGAGAGCATCTTCAAGATAAACATACAGAATGCAGGTAAACTGTCAGTAAATTAACGAGTGCTATTATTTCAGATGCGATCATTGATTAGGTTGTTCGTTGAGAACCTAACAAGGAAGTCTAACGTAATCCACTTGATCAAATCCCTAATTTCAGGTCTTATTTTGACCACATATAACCATCTTCCACTATCTAATTGCCTCGGATAGCATCACAGGTTGAGGAAGCCAATCAGGCGAAAAGCGTAACACATGACTAAAGTAACGTAACCTGTGGCGACCAAATAATTGCGTCAATATGTGGAAACGATTACTCAGTACTACTCAACCACGGCATTGTTTGTTTGAGTGTCCCACCAGACTCACACGATGCGGGGCAAAACGTTGCGTTCGAACACTGATAGTTCGAGCTTACTCTCACCCCCTAATGGTCACATCTCTGCAGTATACAGAAGAACCGACAGGACAGCTTTTTATTAAACATTTTTTGTGTGTAGGTGAATAGTAGGTGGGGTTGGACTGCACAGTCGCGAAGACCTGCTGTTCGGTGATGAAGACCGTCAACCTAAGCCCTCGAACTTGAAATGAGGAACCATATTAGACCCCGCTAGGTCAGGCAGCAATATACACTCGAACCTTCGTGAACAATCACATCATGGTGACGATAAAGGTATATTAGGCACCAACCGAATATTTTAGATCTATGTCAAAACTTCATAAGTGATTCATTCGCCAGGGGGAACATGGCTGTTGAAGGATCAAAATCGGTCTACTATATCTATTGCCCCTGTGGTTGAAGTACAGATGAGAGTTGGATCGATCAAACACCGTGAGCAAAACCCATGTGGAATATGGCTACACTAACACTAAAATCATTCAGAAAAGTTGGTACCATACCTGGATTTACACCCCATAATAGAATGCCACACGCACGTGCTAAATCATACAATCTTCCACCTGAGTGTACATCCACGCTACCAGCCTTGGTTTTGGAGTAAATAAAACTCCTGGGTTCAGTGTGGGAAAAGGAAAAGGTTCCAACTGAATGGTGTGAATCGGTGCTCACACTGATTTACAAGAAAGGTGACAAATCCTCTTGTGAAAACCACAGAGGAATTAGTTCAATTAACATTGCCTCTAAACTCCTCGCCGGGATCATACTCTGTTGATTGTCTGTCGCTCATGAAGAGTGCACACGTGAGAACCAAGCTAGTTTTAGACCTGGTCGAGGTTGTATCGATCACATTTTTACTTTCCGTCAAATCCTAGAACACAGACACTCTTTTCATAGACCATCCATTTCCATTTTCCTCTACCTGAAAGCGGCTTTCGACTCAGTCAACTGCTCCAAACTCTGCCCTTCTCTGAAGGGTGTGCCCGAGAAGTTTATTTCAATATTACAATCCCTCTACAATAATAGTCGAATCTGAGTCCCAGCTTACGACACTTTTCACCCGAGTTCACTACAGATAGTGGTGTTCGACAGGGTTGCCCTCTCTCTCCATTTTTATTTAACTTTGTTATAGATTTAATTATTGAAACAGCCTTATCCTCGTGCGGGGAGAGTGGTATCGGTTGACTACCAGGTGGCAGGCTGTCTGATCTAGAATATGCAGACAACATTGTACTACTAAGTGAAGATCCAGGTAAGTTGCAAGCNTACTTCCAGGTGGCAGACTGCCTTATCTAGACTATGCAGACGACATTGTGCTACTAAGTGCAGATTCAGGTAAGTTGCAACCTTTCTGGATAGTTTGAGTACTGGTAAAGCGATATTCGGTATGCGCTTTGAACCTTCAAGGTGTAAACTGCTGCGCCAAGATTGGGTTGGCCCAATCCCCAGCCTCACCCTGACCGGGGAAGTTGTAGAGAAAGTAGGCAAGTTTTGCTACCTGGCCGGCTATATCTCACCTGGTGGACGCATCACAGATGAAGTGTCGGCGCGCGGTTGGCATTTCCCAACTTGAGATATCTGTGGCGCCGTCGCGATATCCGGTTGTCTGTGAAGGGTCGAGTATATGCTGCGGCAGTTCGGCCAGTTCTGCTTTACGGCGCAGAGATTTGGCCATTATGGGAACAGGATAAAAATAGACTGTCGGTGTTCGAACAGCGCTGTCTACGTAGCATTGCACGAGCCTGGTGGGGAAACCGGACGGGCAATGCTGAGGTTAGGGACAGAGTTTTAGGTAATCGCGGTCGTCCACTGGAACAGGTAGTCGACTTCCATAGATTACGCTGGTTGAGACATGTGCTTCGTATGTCACCAGATAGGTTGCCATGGCGAGCGATGCTTGGCGAGGCAGGTAGCGGTTGAAAATAAAATGAAGGGCGGTCAAGCTAAGAATTGGCATGAGGGGATGAAAACCCTAACCAGGAGACTGGCTCAAATAGGTCCCGTTAGGCTCCCTGGCTGGGGACCCGGAGATCATGGTCACAGATGGATAGAGACACTGAGCGATATGGTTGGGTGTTGCAAACAGTGGCACTCATGCATCTACTCATTATTCTTGTAACTTCAGTCTATGAAAATGTGCTATCTTCCGCTGGAATCTGCTCCTAACATTCTAATTATCATTCTGCTGTTTTATCCAAATGGGCGCGAAAGTGCATGGTTAATGGTTGTAAGAACTGAAATGATCTATCAGCAACCGAGAGTCACTTCTGAAATCATTGGACCATTTGTGTCTGATTTTATTTGAAGACGTCAATACAACAAGCGTGTATTGGGTTGTTGGTTGTGTCTTCTGAACACCAATCAGAGAAAGTGGAGATAATGAAGGGAACGGTAGGTCAGTTCTATTTAATCGAATGATATAATCATGTTCCACATCAAAACCAGGAAGATACGCAAGCATTACATTACAAAAGACACAGGCAAAACAGTTTATAAAAAATATATAATCTCTTTAGTTTTGGCACACCAGCTGTTGTCAACCTTATTTTCTAGGAGGGTTTTTATCGCGCCCCTTATGTCTCTTGACGTGTTCTTCAGCGAGATGTCTGGCATACATGAAATTTAATCAACGTAGTTTAGATTTTACTGCCACAGCGAGTATTTGAACAGATCGAAAATTATGAAGGCGGTACGCTCGTTTGTTTCCACACCGCAGTTCTTGGAGTTGAAGCAAAGATAACCGATCACCACGTATGTACAGTGTTTCACATGCACAACAGACACTGAAGCCAAACTGTACATAATT